TGACTAGGAATTTTTTTTTATTCTTAATAATTTTAACCATTGGAAATTGATTTACTATATAAGCTCTTAGACTAATTTCTAGATAAAATATTTCCTGATGAAACTAGATATATGGTTTGCAAGCTAGACTTAAATACTTTGTAAGTCTGATTTGATCTTGGTTTATTCTTCAAAAGGTAAGGAACAATATGCCCACTTTCAGAGCCCCCGATTAATTTGGTCTGTATGTTTTAAAAACACAAGCTTTAATACCCCAGGATTTACCAAGATAAACAAGTTAATTTCGCAATCTCACTTTGCTTCTACTAAATTTCTCCTAGATAAATGAAAAATAAACTCAAAATATGGACTTACAAATCATCTGATATTTTCCTTTTGCATATAATGCATAGGAGAGGGGAGTATACTATTGACTTTAGACCCCAAACAGTAGAATTAATATTTTCCATAATAATTTCCCCCTATTTAACATCATACTGGATCATGAACTCTCAATTTTCATGTGCCAGATTTAGTGCCAAAATATTTGGCTTTGTTTACTGCTCTCTTCCTTTCCAGTTATACCAGGGCTTCACTGATAGTTATGGGCACAAAAAGGAGCAAGTCTGCACTAAGGGTAATTGCTGTGCTGTGCCAGCATGAGCTCCGGGGTGGCGGCGCTGCGGTGGAATCAATGGCCTGGAATCCGGTCTTCAACTTGACAGTCCCAGGTCCATGCCGGTCGCTATACGTGCAGAGAAGGCAGTTTCAGATGACATGATATACACTAACCACATTCACTAATGGCTAAAGTATAAATGTGAAACACATTTGGTTATTTTCAGGAAAAAATAAAATTGATGAGTCAAGTCATTAGCCTTATTGACTTGAAGGGTATTCCAACTTATATGAACAGGTTGGATTATGAATGTGGAAATGGAGCGAAATCAGTTGAATTTTCATAGAGCCTGATGTAATTCAGCTCTGATAACCTGATACACCCCGTCCTCTGTGGGATCAGATTAGTCAGAGTACTGGTGTCGTCAGAACAGTGGCTCACCCAAGTGGTCCTGGAAGCACAGTTGTCCCATTTCTAGTTTTGGCTTCCATTTTTAATTCACTCTGCCTGTGAACTTGTTATATAGTTTATGATACAGATTATTTTATTTTATCTAGTTAAATTCATACCCTGGCATTGTGAAGGAGTCAATTTCCCAATTTTCTTTCCCATTCATTTCTAAAGCATTTTTTAGGAAGAATAACTTCTGTAGATAAAATAATATAGTCACTGTGCAATTTTTTAATTTATAAAGATAACATTATCTCCATAATACATGAGCATTTTACAGTAATATCAATATGCCCTAATGCGGTAACCATAATGGTATTCCCAAGAGCTGGGTCCTAGGCAGTATATATAAAGTGCTGTTGCACCAGATGCTTCTGCTTTTGGGAGGGGAGGTGGGTAACTCTGAATGGGACAAAAGAAAAGGGACTGAAAGACACACAAAAAAATTAGTGTCATGTGTAAAAACAGGCTAATTATTCTTTAAAGCAGTGATGAAAGATACTTTCTCCTCCCATTTTTTTGTTTTGTTTTGTTTTGGTTTGGTTTTTTTTGCTCTTGACCTCACAGTAGTAAACTGAACACTAACTAAACTCTCTAGAGACACAAAGTTGAGTTCAGTCGTTCTGCAAAGGGCACAAATTACTAGATAGGTACATCAGGGAGGTTTCGGATTCCCTAAGGCAGATGTGTTGAGTGAATTTGTCTGTCTTTCCCAGGCTTGAAGAACACAGAATCTTTTTTTATGCCTTCATTTTATGATGCTAGTCAAACTGGGTCCTGGAGGCAGAAGAGAGCCCACAAGACCCATTCCTGTGTTCCAGTTCAATCAGGAGAGGTGTGCGTGGCTCTTACAGTTGGTCTTACAGTTTTCAAAACCTTCCTTCTAAATATATTTTGTAGGCTTTTCAGTTATTCTTTTTGCAATGCTATTTATAATATGCAAATGCTGAAACAAGCATAAGTGCAGGTTTGACTTATAAACCCTGTGGGGTGGGAAGCACAACAAATCCTAGCACAATTTGATAATGTTAGCAATGCCAGAGCCCCGGTAAAAAGGCACCTGCTCTCCTGTTAGAAAATCCTCCCTAAACTTACTTTCTGGGAAAGGATAATCTGATGTTTAGGAAATGGTAGTACAATACATTCATGTGGAAGGTTGAAGAGTTCTTATAGTCTAAAAATATAGGAACAAGATCTAAATAAATTTTTAAGAAGGAAATTTAGAGTACTGTGAATTGCCTAAGAAGAAATATGTAATAAAATTGTCAGAGATGTTTACAATAATTATCTTAAATTAGTACATTAATTTTTTCTTATCTTTCTTTTCTTATCTTATATGTATGGCCTTGAAAGATAATGGCTTATGGACTTCATTTTTATGATATCAAGGGTGTAAAAGGTTGAAGGTTATCGCCCAAAAACCAGAAGCGCTAGCCTGCTATAAGGGGTGACAGATGAGGTTGTCAGATTACTAAGCAGATTATTAAATATTGCCTTCTATGGTGATCTTTTACATTTTTACAAATTCTTCTCCTTTTTTGAGATGATTTAAACATACAGTTATGAAGCAGATCAGAGATCTTAAATCCAAGTTGAAAACTATCTCTGCTGCCAGAAGTATATGTTGCAGTGGCCATACGCATAAATATTATAAATGGGAGAATTGTGTACATGTTTGAAAGCATTTGCTTTCCAGAAATCTCCTCTGAGAAGTATAACAGTAGGGAGGAGGGGAAGTTGGAAAGTTAAATTCTTGCCCAAATGTCATATTTCTCTCACTCTGTATTCTTCTGAATCTGTTCATTCTGTCTGAGCTTCTCATCACTGGAAATGAAAGTTTCATGGGCGGGGTTCACCATCTGGTTTATTCACCAGTGTATCTAATCATCTAGAAAGTGCCTGGCACATAGTAGGCCCTTGGTCTGTCTGTACTTACTGAACAAATAAGTCTATGAAATGAAATCAATCATGCCAGCCTCTCCATATTTGGCTTGAATATTTTATGGAGCAGAGTGGAAGAATGAGACCAAAAAACCTTGGACCCACTTAGAAAAAGATTCTTATATAAATCCAAAGTGACATTGTAGTCTCTCTTTTTTTAATTGCTTATACAACCTCCTTACAAATCAAAAGAATCTTTGAAAACAGTAGCAGTTGACATCTCTCAGCCTTGTGCAACTCCCTTACAGTGGCTTCAGCTCTTGCTGTGACATGATGTCGAAAATCCTGGGCTCACAAATAACAAATCCCAACTTCATCATTGATTATATGAACTTGGCCATGTTAGTTAACCTTTGATGACTTGGTTTCCTCAGAATGGAGACATGGGTAACATCAACCCCAGGAGTTGTAAGGATAAAATGGGATAATTCATGTAAAGTTCTTTGCATAATACAGAACTTGGGAAGCACTCCATAAATGTTCATTTATATTATTTTTTGCTATCCAGGGACTTCTTCTCTATTCATTGTTTCTTCTTGTTTCTTTTCCTATTTGAGCACGTACATTATCTTTCTAAGGCTGCTGTAACAAAATGCCACCAACTCAGTGGCTTAGAACAACGGAAATTTCTTGTCTCAGTTCTGAAGACTAGAAGATCAAAGTCAAGATTGGCTGGGCCATGCTCCCTTTGCAAGTTGTAAGGGCAGGATCTTTCCTGGCTGTTTCCCGTTTCTGGTAGCCCCAGACGTTCCGTGGCTTTGGCAGCATAATCCCCATCTCTATCCATCTTCACTTGGGCTTCTCCCTTTCTCCTTCCTTCATCTGTCTGTGTATGTCTGTGTCCAAATGTTCCCTTTTTACATGGACACCAGGCGTATTAGATTAAGACCCACCCTAAAGAACTCACTTTAACTTGATCACCTCTGTAAAGATCATATTCTGTTATAAGGCTACATTCTAGGGCACTGAAGGTTAGAGCTTCAACATATTTGGGGGGTGGATGGTCACAATTCATCCATAACAGAATGATTGTATATATTTCTATTCAATTCATTGTATTTTTCCTTACCCAATGGAGAAACATCCTATCATATGGCACCAGACTGGGAGCTTTTAGGTTTAAGATTAGTTTTGCCACTAACTCCACTGAAAGAAATCCCTCAAATTCTGGAAAGCCTGGGTGACTTCACTGCAAAATAAATGGGCTGGGCTAGATAATATCTAGCATGGGTTTCAACTCTAAAAGGTCCTGGTTATAACGTGTGACTTTCTTTCTGTGAACTACAGTGAGTATCTCAAATTTCCATGATGGTCTGTGCATCTTGATGTCACTATAACTAATTATAAAATATCTCATGGCATTTTCAATTACCTCAATGCACACTCAGATTAAAATCCCACTGTCCGTGATGCTAGTTAATGAGATTCATATCAAATAAAAGCTTTGTTAGATTTAGATGTAAAAATATCTAAACAGTGCCAGTGAGCCTTTTTTGTGAATGTTTTTGTTTTTGTCTTTGTTCTTTTTGTTTGGTTTGGTTTGGGATTTTTTTGTTGTTGTTTTGCTTTTTGGCTAAAATTTTTAAATAGACACATGTTTTATGCCAAATGCCCTTCATATAAAAATAAGATCTGAAGTGTGAAGGTTTATAGTGTGTGTCTTTTCTGATTATAGTATGATGCAACTCATTTGAAAACCATAAAACCAAAACTTCAGAGGTTAGGGGAAATGAAAAATCAAATTCTGCTACTGATTCATAGACTACTGGCAACTTTCCTGAAAGTTTGTTTAGACTACTGCTATTTATAGGACTTAAAAGTCTCCTCCAGCACAGCTAGGAAAGGAACTAAGAAAGGAAAGAGAAATCTGTGCTACTCTGAGATAATGACATTTTTTCTGTCTCCCTGTCAGGAACGATTGACCAAAGGTTCTGGCGGCCGTTTCTCATTCTTCGCGTCATCTAAAAGTTGCTGCTCTCGGTATTTACTCGATCGTCTCTTTCTCTTTCAGCTTCCTCCATTCTCAAAAGGGAGAAGCGGCTGAGGACAAAGAATGTGCATTTCAGTTGTGTCACCGTGTACTACTTCGCCAGGAGGCAAGGCTTCACGAGCGTGCCCAGCCAAGGGGGCAGCACCCTGGGCATGTCCAGCCGCCACAACAGCGTGCGCCAGTACACTCTTGGCGAATTTGCCAGAGAACAGGAAAGGCTCCACCGGGAGATGTTACGAGAACACCTCAGGGAGGAAAAACTGAACTCTTTAAAACTAAAGGTAAACTACACTTGAAATTCACTTTATGCAAACCCCACGTCCTTTCTTCCATCCGGTTGCATTAACCATTTTCACATTTATGTTCACAGGCCAAACTGGGTGTTTTACACAACAGACTGCCTGCTGAGGCTTTTTTTTTTTTCTTTTTTTTAAGTAAGAACAGTATAGGATCTTCTCTGAAAGCAATGTGGAAAATTTACCTCACGTTGTTTTTTCATAATTCTCTCTATAAATGTGTATTGTTGAGCAGTGCTAGGTTGTAGACCCAATACTTGGGCTAGGGCTTACTAGCATCAAAGTAGATATGATCCCCTTTTCCCCAGAATGGACCTATTAATAGGAAAGAAAATATTAACCATGTAGACAAAATAAGATCACAGCTTCATCAAGTGCTATGAAGGAGAGTTGCAAAGTGCTATGAAAGCATATAACAGAATTGATGTGATCCAAATGTCAAAGAAGGTTTCCTCAAAGGAGTGACAACTGGCCTGAAATCTGAATAGAAAGCTTGGTGAGAAGGGTTGGCAAGATTGGTTCAGGTAGCAGGAAGACAGGGAGCCACTTTGTGGCAGGAGGAAGTATGGTGTGCACACAGAGGCTGGGATGGCGGGGGCAGAGGCAGAAAGATCGGAATAACATGAAGGAGCTGGGACAGGGCTTTGTAGATCATGTTAAAGCATTTCTTTTTCCTCTTCATCCTGAGCCATCAGACATAATCCAACAGTTTTCAGCCTGGGGTTGGGGTGGTGGGATAATGTGAGCTCATTCATGCTGTGATGAGAGAATGTTTCTGGAGGAGAAAGAGCCATGTTGGGGTAGGGTTGGGGGGTGGCATGTGGAGTTAGACTAGGTAAGAGGCTATTGCAATAGTCCAGGAAAAAGACAATAGTGAGTTAGATTAGACTGATGGTAGGGGAGATGAATAGAGATGGAAAAAGGGGGAAATTTAGGAAGTAAAATCCACAGCCCTTGATGATTTGGAAGATCATCAAGGGTGGATTTGGAAGGAAAAGAATGACCCCTAAATGTCTGGCTTACAAAAGTGAATGGGTTGTAGGTGATAATACCTTTGTCTATGAGAAGGACATGACAAGGGGTGCAGAAAAAGCTGCAGGTTGGGGGCTGGGAGTGTTTGGGAGGAGTTGAAGATGACTTTTCTTGGACATACTAATTTTCAGAGGATTTTGAGTTCTTAAAGAGATGGCAGGGAGGTGTCTAGGTAGAGATATGTATTCTGCCATATTTGAGATTAAGTGGAGAGAAACACAGCTCAGAAAACTTCTTTCATCAACTGAAGGCACTTTTGATATTTGCATTGATTCATCAACCTATCATTTCATAAGGAAATGCTCTCCCATAATTATCTAATGACAAAAAAGAAAAAAGAAAAAGAAAACAAACTTTCCAGGTCATACAGAGTACTTAATATAAAGGGTTACTCATTATATAGCTGAAGCACCATAAACATACCTTTGTTACCTGTACCTTCAGTTTCCAGTATAAAGTCAGTCGGCATAAGTGTCATGTGTGTTTCAAAGCACCTTGTTTTCATGTATTTTGCAATTTATGTATGTGCCTTGTTCCCAATTGCAGAAAAAGGCAGTCAGTTAAATTAAGTGGGACACAGTCAACCTAGAGCATGTTTCACATTTCCTTTGGAGGTATTTTTGACAGATTTCATTGAAAATCCCTTAAGATTTTTTGGTAGCAATCCACTATTATTGTTATTGTTGTTCATGATTGCTTTGTGTGTAGCTTAATATAATAATAATTTTCAGATTTGCTTCTGAGATCTGCCCTCTTCCTTTCTCATCTACTGCAACCCAATAATACCCCTATCCAAAGAGAGAAGCCATTCTTTAAACTCAAATGTTGGGGGAACAATAGTAAGCACTGCCATTCATTCAGCAATTTTTATTTGCCAGGCATTTTATAAATATTACTTAATTTTATCCTAACAAAGACCCAGTGGAATAGGTAAATTATGAGACTATGTGTATGACTAAAGAAAAAGAAACACAGAGATATTATAAAGCTGGCTCGCTAACAGAAAACTGGTTATGTTATCTTGTTACTTCCTCTTCTAAAATTAATTAATTATCCCCCATAGACTTTGGGAAAGACAATCTGTGTACCTGTAGGGAGTTGTCCCTTTCTGAGGTTTAGTACTGTGTGCAGAAGTTTTTAACAGCTGGGGAGCTATAATTCTATCTGAAAACCAAAAGATTTATTGTGGTGAACTTTGCAGCACATTTTACATGTGCTGAGTATTAGGGGGATCCAGACAACTACAGGAGCCTTCCTCCATATCAGGCAGTGATTTATTCTGTTATATAGTTTGTATTCAGCTACTTCTACACGTTTTTTTTTTAACAAGCTGAAGAAGAAAAGAAGCAAAAAGAGCATTCTATTATCAATTCATCTTTTTCATTGTGCTTAGCGTTGCAAGTTGGAGTGGCAATCATCTCAGTGGGTGTCATGTCTAGGTCTGTCATTGGTAAGTGGAGAAGTGAGACTATACAGCTTTCTCTTTTGGTGAATATATAAGCAAAGTTATTTGGATAGCATAGCTTCTTCCACATGAATACCAAGCAAAAATGACAGTGGGATTCTGAGGCAATCTGATCTTAGCCTCAATGTGCTGCAGGTATTCAGAAGCATGTGTCACATGAACCTAACGAAAGATCACAGCAATACAGCAATGTGGACTAGTTTCCTATAAATTAAAAAAAAAAAAAAAGCCTGAGGAGAATTAATGGAAGAAAACTTATATGTATTTTATGTATTTATAAATATATAAGTAATACATATATAAGTATATACTTATATACTTATATATGTATTACTTATATATACCAGAAATATCCATCCATTGTTCATATAACAAGTATGGTTTGCATGACACGGGTGTAACCTGGCAGCCAAGGAGAGTGGACTGGAATGCACATATCTGAACAATGATAACTTCACTGTACTAGTCAGTGGGGGTGGTAGACACCATTGAGTGAGCATGAGTACTATGTGGCCATTGCATTCAAAATGACTGAGCGAGTAGAGCAACGAATCTGCAACAGATTTTGCATTAAGCTTGAACATTCCTCTGCGGAAACTATTCCAATGATTCAGAAGGCCGCAGCTATGAGCAACTGGTGAGTGGCAGCTTCATCATGACAATGTGCCTGCTCATGGATCACATCTCATGCAGAGTGTTTTGAAAAAACATCAAATCACCCAGGTGACTCAACCCCACTACATCCCAGATTTGACACCCTGCAACTTCCAACTTTTCCCTCAACTAAAATCACCTTTGAAAGGGAAGAGGTTTCAAACCAACCATCAGTGAGATTCAGGAAAATACAATGGGGCAGCTTATGGCAATTCCAGTAAAGTATTTTGCAGTCTTTGAACAGCAGAAAAGATGCTGGGAGAACTCTTTGAGGTTCCAAGGTGCCTACTTTGAAGGGAATTGATATGACATTGTCCTATGTACATTGTTTCTTGTATCTTGTATCTTCTTCAATAAATATCTCTTATTTTTTTCATAGTACATACCTGGGACCTTTTGGACAGACCTTGTCTATATATATAGACACACGCATACATACATACATATATACACACATACATACATATGTAGAGAGAGAAATAATACATATATATTACTGTATTTTTCATTACCATTTATGCCCCTATAATGTCTTTCACCTCCACCCGCCTCCCATCCCTCTGCAATTTCAACACTGTTGTCCATGTCCATGAGTTCTGTCTTTTTTTTCTTTTACGTTTGATCCCTTATGTTGTAGTGCCTCTAGCATATTAACATTTATAGTTTTTGAAATATTGACTCGACTGGTATAATGTTTAGCTGCGCAAAATCAAAAATTAGCTGTCCAAAAATTTCACTCTGATACCTGAAATTTTACTTTTAATATAAATAGCATTTGTTTTGAAATATAAACCCCTCCGAGGTAAGTAGCAAAACAAATGTAACTAAGTTGATTTTATTATTTTCATTGGGGCAGCAGGAAGGTCACTGTCATCGAAAGACACCCAGAGAGGAAAGCCAGGATTGCTGGAAACAAACGTTGCCACTTTGGTTTTACCTGCAGGTGGTCCTCTGTGAGAGGCAGTAAAGAAGGCAGCATCTGACAAGACAAATACTTTCCAAAGCCCTCACTATGGAGATCAGATAAAAACACCATGGGAAATTCATCGGGCTTGGAACTGGGTAGTTTCCCTTCTACTTATTTGAGAACCAGTTGTGCAAAAAGAGTAAAGAGAAGTTTCTCTTTTTACCCTGTGCCTCTGTGTCTTTCTAGGGTGTCTCTCTGGGTTCCAAACAGAGAACCGAATGTGTACAATGGCACTTCTTCCAATGGGTCCTTAATAGTGGAAAATTAGTAAAAAGAAATATGCACATTTCTTGATGTTTCTTTATAATAAATATTTTGAGAACAATGTAAGAAGAGAAATTAGTTTTTCATTGTAAAATTTCTTATTTAGTAATTCATCTCTTAAAGTATGAGCTAGATACATTAAGAAATCGTATGTACAATTAGGTTCGTAGAACAAACTTATTTTTATCTCGGAGATTCAAGTGTGTCCTTATTGTTGGTGATGTTGCTGTTCCAAGCGTCATCTGAAAACAATTAATAAAGAAAACTGATTAAATAAAATACCTGTTCCTAAAAGAAATAACTACTTTTAGATTTCTAAATTACAGAGCATAGTTCTTTTTCTCTGTCAAGCCCATTCAAACTTGAGTCATACTCTTCACAGTAATCAACGTGGTCATCTTAATACTACACTCTTTTCCAAATGAAGTGCTTGGATTTCATCATCTGTACCAGCTGTTGAACAATTACATTAGCCTTTATTCCCATTTCACACGTATCTGTAAAATGCATTAGGCAGCCATTTGTACATTTCAAAGAGCCTTGGCTTTCCAATTGCCTCTGGGTTATATCTTACTGGATTCTCCTGCCTTGTTCTAGGAAATT